ATCCCCACGGTCCACACCAAATTAAATTGAGCCACTGATGGTACGCTATAGCGTATTGTACCACACTGAAATCACATGTTACAAATTGATTTTATAACAATATAAGTAGTTACTCATGAAGTATCTAAGAATGTTTTAAGGCTATTGTGTAGTACATATAATGCATGCAATAAAAATCATTTACAATACTTCAGAAGCAGATATATAATCTTGTAAAATTAATTATTAAATTGAATTACGCTTTAAAAAAAATAATATCATTAACAATACACACATAGATAAAATATGTATAATGCTTTATATATAACCACTACAAAGGTTTAGTCATATATTTCGTATGTTTTAATTTGTGTTGCAGTATCATATGCTGCAATAGTGGAATTATTGTATGTTAAGTTAAGCATCATATATTTCAGTATTTCTCATTAAAAATATGAAACYATTTATAATAAATACCATTTTTTTTTTGAATTCACCAAAGTTATTTTAAATTTAATTTTTTTATTACTAACTAAAGTTATTTAAAATTCAAATCTAATATTGGTAAAATATTTATATTATATGTTACTTAAAAGTAGAYATGTATGTATTGCATACACTTTATCTATGAATATAATATATATATTATAAAATATAAGAACTGCAAAGTTAAAGCACACCTTCTTCTTTCATGGAGACCAAATTTTTCGCCACGTAGAACCCTTGTTTGAAGTGTTTCTCATTGTCCGCGGCGGACTCCACATTGGTCCTCTCTATGATTTCTTCAAGCTGACAGGTTTTAGCCCGTTCCGCGTCCAAATCATTCAACAGCCTTTCCTGTAAGCATCATAATTGTGGATTGTCATTCATATCGTCCATTCCATTTGAACTTCGATCTATTAATAATAACAACCGATTTATCGCACGGTTTATATTACTTACACGGGTTTCGATAAGTTTGGCGTTTTCCGCCATAACCGCCAGTTCACGCTGTTGGGCCGCCACTAGCTGTCCGGCGAATTCTTGCCTAGTCGATACAGCGGCTCGGAACCTATCCTCCTTATCGGCCAGTTCGTTTTCCAACGCGGTTAGTTCTAACCGGAATTTTCTCTGGTCCTACACACGTTTTTAATCTTTTAATATTTGAAGTCGAAAGTTTTTATAAAAATGTATAACCTGAAATCCTTTGATTTCGATTGTATTGTCTATAACCACTAACCGGTATTCGCAAAAACCCGAAGTTAAAAAACAATCACCAAAAAACGAATTACGGTTCTCGATGTGTACTTTATTCCACACCAAAGTTTTTGGACATACAATCATTTCAATCATTAGATACTCCAAAAATAATTCTTATCGTAAGAACAACATACTAATAAGCTATACTTAAAAGGAAGCTTTGCGGAAGTCTGTGGTCTCCGTTTTAAAAGYGTGTAACACAAACAATTTTTAGTACCGCAGCTCACGTTTAGCTCCGTTAATTTAAAAGTTAGAGTAAATCGACTGAATCGACTTATTAGGAAATTCGATGGTAAGAATATTATTTGTGTTTGTATGTGGGTTTTTCACGATGATTCAGTTTTTAAGTCAGTTATGAGCAGTCATAATTTACGTTATATAATATACACAAGACTTACAAAAAAATTGTCAAAGCCATAAGTCAATACTGCACATATTTCTTATTTACAAATTATATAAGTAATTAATATTAATTGAAATCGTGTGGAGACGTGGGGTTATGCTTACTCCCTTCCGGGTCTCCCTACGGCCTACTGGATCCTTTGTCACGGAAATTTTCGTTTACGTCTCACGTGATTTTCTATGTAGCACGTAGTGAAAATTATTGACATGATGGTTAATAGTTTAATACGTACTTCAAGTTTGGTCTTTTCTTGCTCTTCGCGGAAATGAGATTCAAGTTCTTCGAATAGTTTTTGCATCTGAAAATCAAATCGCACGTGACGGTCTTATAATACTCATTATTTATTATTTTCGGCGATGTTCACGCATCATTGTGACCAGGGATAACGCAAATAATAGATTAATAAGCGCAAAGAAGTTTAGRTATAATTGATAACACTAGAAAATAAAATGTGATTCACTAAGCATGCTCTCTGTCCTCTTTTAATGTAATGTAGTTATTCAACATTTGATTTTGGTATGTTTATACATACTTTTAGGCATAAGAAAGCCTTGTGGATATACAAAATTCTGTTTTTCAAGCGACAACTCTTCTATTCTATTGTAAATTATTCATCTGGATTATTTGGCGGACCTATTAAAATCAAAATTCAAACAAGTTGTTTTTGAGTTGTATAACTTGGTCTACAAAGAATAAAAGGTCCATGATGATGGGTTTGGAAGCTTTGGGGTCTATGGAGACTAGACAATTTTAGTGATGACCTATTTAAATCTTTCAACATTTATAAATTGTAAGGTCTAAGCTAGTCGCTAGATCGAAGCCAGATCAAAACTAGATCAATAATTATGTATAATTAATATTTTGTAAAATCATCAATAAAGATTATTATCCTTATTAGGCACGTTTGAATAACGGTTGTCTGTTGAACCTACTCGTTTGAATTTTGAATAAGGTAAACAACATTTTCACAACAATATTTGCTAAATAAATTACAGTAGAAAAAAACTGGTGGGTGGGTTCTTGTTTGAAAAACCGAAGTTCGTATCGCCACAGTCAACAGAACATTCCTCAAATAGTAAAAAAATCTCAATACTTCGAAAATATGCCTTTAAATATATTTCAAAAATCAAAATTTGAAAATAAATTAAAGACAAGGAATGAGGTGAGCATGTTCGGTAAATCATCCTGCATAATGTATATCAATAATGTACGTTGTTTTGGTGTTGGATCTCGCGGCTCTGTAAGATCTCTTCCAGCTCCCTGTCGCGTTCGACCATCTTTACCAGGTCCACGTGCAGTGCTCTGAGAAACGCTTCGACGCGGCCCACCGAGACCGCATCACTGTCCGGTTCCATTTGCGAGGCTGCCTTGCATATGTTTTCTAAATGTCCTACGCTCCTGCCAAAATCATACTGATTGTTAATAATCAATAAGTCATGTGACATCGGCGATTAATAACCATTTACAGCCATCATAGTGATTCATTGGATTACTCATTTCTCTGTATAAATGTTTAGGTATGTCCCACAATGTATTTATAAGTATGGACTGAGTTAATACTTATAATTATCTAATTAATCATTGATTTGAAATACGGTTTTTAGATATTCGACATGATGACTTCTAAGTTTTCCAAAATCACTTAAATTTAACCGAGAAAACGACCGTTTAGTGATACAATCACCTTGTAAAATATGCATCTTTACGCACGTATTGAAAATTTATTCGCATATGCGTTGTCTCCGCTTTTAAATACATACAACATTTCGTGTGATTTGATTTAAAATTAGATTGATTTGAGGTATCATCAAACTTAAAGTTAAGAATATTATGGAATGTATCATAATTCCTTTTATTGGTGTTTAAATTATAAAGCAAGCCACGATAATTTTAAAAATGTAAGCAATGTTTACATAYTGCTACGTGTCTAACCCTAGATGTGCCCTACTCCTATTGATAGGAGATAACTTTTAAGTTTAAAGATTGATGATAGTTCAATTTACTCAAGTATTAAATTTAATAATACAAAATTGGTTCTGCTGAACGAAAATTTGTTGTCTGTAGGTATCGTATGTTCAGGGCCGTCCCGAAAAAAAACTATGGGGGGGGGGGCGTAGACTAACTAATTGCCAACTCGTGGAGTCAAAAAAATTTTCTAGCTTCGCTCGAAGAATATTATCTTATAATTTTATTTTACCATTTTTATTTGCTTTGTGTTTAAAAAAAACATACTTTTTTAGTTTTATAAATTTAAATAAAAGAAAATGTT